TGGCTGCGTGTGCTCAGATCAACCAATTTTCTGTTGCATTTTGCACATGGCTTCTAATTGTTTGGAATGTGCCTTTTCATCCCTTTGCATTCAAGGGCTGAGTGTGACTTGCTTTGTGGGTCCTGAATGTTGTGGGCAGTCACATAGATGGCAGGTTTCTGCCATTAGGTCCAGCGTTTGCCCTCCTTAATGCCATGGCAGTGTGCCTGTTCTCAGTATTCTCTCTTGATCTGTTATCTGCTTCTGTGTGGGCTGTGTGCTGCCAACAAACTCAGACAATAGTTAGTATTGTCAAACTCTCTCTCCTCTTCATTAGCACACACAGATCAAAGTGACATAATTAGGAATCAGGAAATGAACAGAGGCAAGAAGAGGTAAGAGGAAAAATTTAATACAGGCCACAAACATTTGCTTCCTTTCTACCCTGTACTGTTTTACTTCTGCTGCACAAAAAGCTGCAGCTAGACAGTCTTCTCCAAATTTTCCATTCACCAAAACAAGCTCTCTACTTTGACCTGACTTGTACACTTCTTTTTGCCATGCTGAGAATTGTAGTGAACTTTTTTGTGTCAGTTTCTAGCTATCAAATGTGTTCCATTTTGTGACTATAAACCAAGCGTCTTTTTTTGTTTCTTTGCTGTGCTGTAGATGCCAAATAGGAGGCCATGCCAAGGCTTTGTATTTTACAGTGGAAGCACTTATGAATAGAAGCTGATTAAGGCTTTTACTTTCCATCCTGCTTTTTTTGAAACAAATGGGCTCTAGTGAAGCTTAGTTACTTCTGACACACGATACTATTGCATAACAATGTATGACATTTAACACCACCAAATTTCTGGATTTTTTCTGCTTTGCTGATCCTAACTGGGCTAACTTCATGACTATCAGTGCATGATGTCTCTAGGTAAGGCTATGATTCCAAGGAGTGCCATACATTGTCACCCTTTTTTCTTTCTAGAGAGTCTCACTTTTCAGTTTAGGTCTATTCCTATTAAGAATTTGAAGTGATCATGCCTACACTGCTGTGTATAGCCTACTAGGAAAAGAAATACTAGCTCCCTGTCTTACATACTTACACCATCTAGGATGTTTCTGAATCTATTGCTTTGATACCCTGCCTGGAAATCATCTTCCAGTTGAGCATACCTGAATCTGGGTGCTAGGAAACTTCACAGTGCAAGCTGAGAAGTAACCTGGTCCCTTTGAATTTTTTTCAAGCTACTCTTCAAGTGCCTCATCTCTGTGTGAAAGATTAGGTGTGTGTATATATAGTAGACAAGTAAAAACATCTTTAGTTTTGTGGAATTTTTTTTTTAAGTGTTGTCATTATTTTCCATCTAGAAATAGCGCTCTCGGTATCAGCAACTACTAGTCCCAGGCTGAGAAAGGACAAAGTCTGGAATGAACTCTCCTGAACAGAAGATGCAAGAAGGTGGTTTTAAACTCTTGGCTGGCTCAGCTGTGGGGCCAGACACACAGCAAGCTCAGCTTTGTTTAGTGAGTGGTGCAAGTTCTTCCTGTAACATGCCTTAAAAGGGAAATTCTGATTGAGGTAGCGGTTTAGCTGTGACTCATGCAAGTGAAATGTTAAGTCTGTTTCTCAGACAAAAGCAAATCCAAATTCCTGAAAGTGGTCTCACCCCTGAGCCTCAGAGAGCTTTGCCTTTGCTAGCTGAAAGCAACAAAAAGAAATGGGAAGACTTCTTTCCAGTCTTCTTAATCAAAAAGTCTCTCTGCTAAGTTGCCTTATAAGTAATTACAGGGATTGCAGTAAGGGAGTCACACGCAGAAAAGGGTCCAGGAAACATCTTTGTAATTACATGTTGTTTGTTACCATGGAGATCTCAGGAAATGGCAGTTTTGGTGTTTGGCAGTTGAACAGCAGGTTTGGCACCTGAGAGTTTTTAGTTTTTTCCAATTCATCTTTCACAAAGGGCTGACCTTTCTCTCCTGAGCCAGGTATATCTTTGTATGTCCCTCCCTCAGTAAAAACCACTATGGTGTGAATATGTGTACAAGTATTAGCTTTAAGAATGCTCAGTCCTACTAAGTCACAAGATGCTGAATATTAAAAATTGAGAAAATACAGAATATGAACTGCCAGCACAGTCAGCAGCAAATCATAGAATCATAGAATCATTTAGTTTGGAAAAGACCTTCAAGATCATCGAGTCCAACCATCAACCATCCCCACTAAACCATACCCTGAAGTACTCACTTTTTGAATACCTCCAGGGATGGGTGACTCAACCACTTCCCTGGGCAGCCTATTCCAACATCTGACAACCCTCTCAGTAAAAAAAATTTTCCTAATATCTAACCTAAAACTCCGTTGCCTCAACTTGAGGCCATTTCCTCTTGTCCTATCTCCAGCCACCTGACAGAAGAGACCAGCACCCACCTCACTACAACCCCCCTTCAGGTAGCTGTAGAGAGTGATAAGGTCTCCCCTCAGCCTCCTCTTCTCTAGACTAAACAGCCCCAGCTCCCTCAGCCGCTCCTCATAAGACTTGTGCTCTAGGCCCCTCACCAACTTTGTTGTCCTAAATCCCACATATCTAGCATCACAGACTTGAAAAAGCCATATTAATTATAATTGTTTTGTTGCTGTTTAGCAGAATGTGTTCCTCAGCAGCAATCCTTGACACAAGAAAGGTACCAGGGCAAGAAGAGTGGAGGGGAGAAGGATCATAAGAGCTGGGATAGATATCTGGCTGATATACAGTGACTGGACAGTGATGTGCCAATGAATGGGCAGCAGGCAGCAGTTTGCCTTCTCCAATCAGGCTGCATCTCTGTGGCAGAGTAGCTGATGCTCTGCACTCATATATTGATAGTTTATTTTTTCATTTTCCTAGCAATCATTGCAAAGTGTCATTTGTAGGGCTTTCTAGTCTAGGTTATGCAAGGTCTGCTAACAGGAAATGCCAGCAGCTCTGTTAACCCTAAGGATTTGGGTCAGTGTTAAAAATAATGTTTAAATTGGTAACTGAGAATACTAAACGTTCTCATTAAAAGTTTGCGTAGTCAAAGCTGGGAGCAAGGCTCACTGTGCCCTCTAGTGTGCACAGTCTGTAGCTTCGCTGTTTCCTCATAACGGCATGAGGGAAAGGAAGCTGTTTTTTCTCGCAGTGGATTGGCATGGCAGATTTCTGTGTGTCTCCCACGTTGCCCACACAAGACAAAGACTAGAATTACAAGGCACTGCACTGAGCCTGTTGTACTTTGGCTGACATGGTACCCAGAGACAAGGCACAAACACAGTTGTTGTGGTCTGATGGGAACTGACACTGCCCATGAACGGATGTATTGCCTAAGCACAGATCAAGCATCTAAGTTTACAAGTGAGGAATGAAAAATTCTGTGCTCTGGTTTCCTTTTGTCTTAGATAAAGCCCATACAAAAAAACCCAACCCTGTTGAATGTGAGTGTTTCTAGCAGCTTTACAGGTGTCAGAGATGAATGCAATTCCCCTGACCTCTACAGTTTTTGTCCTGTCAAGTTCTGGACATAGCTAGAGATCCTAGAGATCTTTAAATATATACGGGGCTACACTGACATCTCCCATGTTCTGCAGTTGTCTCAGGCCTGGTCTTTGCTGGCAGTTTCATCCCCAGATTGCTTCATTATCCTCTTAATGTGTTTAGTCTGATAATCCACTATTTGCTGTTCTTTCTTTATGTCATTAGATTTGTCTACACACAGGTAACTCCTTGTGCCAGTAGCCTCAAGTCCATTCAGCAATGCAGTCCCAGGAGGAGGTTGGCTAAGGTGTCTGAGCAATCCTCTGAACAATTCAGTAACTGCATAACACTTAACTGCAAATGTCCAGAACAGGAGGACAATGTAGTGTTGCCACTGACTGCTGCAGGGCCACTGATTCTGCCTGTTGAAATAAGGTGCTGGGAGGATATCCTGCAGTTCAGATGAGGGCAGCATGCACCATGAGATGGTGTTTGTTGGCCATGCATGCAAGGTTCTTGGCCTCTAAGTTTTAGATGCTCTACTCGTTTCATACAAATCACCTTTTTTTAATATCTGATGTGATTTGTCTGGTTCTGTGATTCTATCCATTTTCAGGCAACTCTTTTCCAAGGCTTCTGATCACAGTGCACTGATACTAGCCTTTAAAAGCTGCTGATATCACATATTCTGACACTTGCATCAGTATGTTGGAGGGAAAAAAAAAGTAAAGTAATGACACTGGAATATGCCTGCCCAGCAGGCAGTAAAGTAGCTACTTATTGTAAAAGGAAGATGCCACACTCCAAATCACTGAAGTGTAGACAAGCTTCCATTCTCCGCAGTGACAAAGCTCAGGACTATTGCTGAACTTATGACCTCCCCTAGGCTGTTCTTCCCACTCACTATTTTGCCAGAGGGTGCCCATTCATTGTTTCATTCACGTCCTCTAACAGCTTTCAACCGGTTCCCCCAATCATCTTCTTCTTTCCAATAACAATCAGCTTTTTCCCCAGCCAAAGCACTGATTTCAGAAGAACATCACACTGTAGTGCCTGTACCTTTCCTGAGGATCTTCAAATGTCCCTTTTTATGTACTGCCAGGCAACTGACAGAGCATAGCTGCCAAGTAGCTTTTTAAGTTCCACCCCTACATAGCAGTGCAGCACATTTCCAGTCCCAGGTTTCACAGAAATAAGCCCTCTAGCAACGTTGAATTTTTTTTGCCTTACATTCCTCACTGAAGAGTTGTAAGGTGGTTTTGGATAGTATGGTGTATATTTTTCCTGGACCGAGCTGCCCTTGGGACAGGAAACTTGGGACGTAGAAGTCTTCTCATTTGTCTTCATGAAATTCTCCAAGAATTCTGAAGAAATCATTGGTCTCCTTTTGGGGCAAGAGAAACTTTTCTGTGTAACAGGTGTTCTTTGTGAGAGCCAGAGACCATTGTTACTTACAAATGCATGGTTTTGACAAAATAGGTAGCAGACTTTGGGAAGACAAACCTTAAATTCTTCTCTGATTCTGATTTTTCATAGGACTCTATGTATTGGTGGGAGCAGGGGCTCTCATGACCACAGTTGGATTTTTTGGGTGCTGTGGAGCAGCGCGGGAGTCTCAGTGCTTACTTGGAGCAGTAAGTAAAAGGTTACAAGGGCCTGGGCTGTGTAGGAAAATCATTCAAAAGCATATGTTTTGTGTCATTAGTGGAAAGTTCTTTACTGTGCAAGACCTGAAATGTCTTATGTCCTTTTACTGGCTAATCTAGCATCTCTAGCCACCGTCCTGTTGCAGAGCTTCTATACATGAAGAAGTTCCATTGCTTGTCTCATGTGATATACTTCCTGGAATTACCTTCTGTCTCTTCTGAAGCTACCATCTAAGCCACATCTTTGCCATTTCCACTTTTGTTTCCATATTACAAGAAATCTGACTTGACGCCCTTGTCACAGACCCTGCTTACCAGCTTTCTTCCAGTGACTGTGTGGGCTGTTAAGGCCTGGGCAAGGATGAGGGACTGACTGGCAGTCAATATAAAGCAGAATTGTGCAAGGTACATTAATATAAGATTCTCTTCTTCCTCTGCAGTTCTTTGCTTGCTTGTTGGTGATATTTGCGGCTGAGGTCACTGCTGGAGTATTTGCCTTCATAGGAAAGAAAGTGGTAAGTAGCAAGCAACTTCTAATGTAAGAATGGGGCAGTTACGGATTCCAGTGCCAACTGACCTACAGTCTGGCTCTTGCATAGGAAATCTTTCCAGGAGACTTTTCCCAGGAAGACTCTCTGACATTCTTATCTGGAGTCAATGAGAGCTTGTGTTGTCACAAGTCCAGAATGGGATGCAGTTTTTGCCCCCCTCTATTAAAGAAAATCTGTAGGTGTTGTTCAACCTTACATCCACAAGGAACATCAAGTAGAACTATGTAAGAGGGTATTGCTAGGGAAAAGGGCAAACAAATTCAAGCGCTGAACTTCAACTAACAGTGTTTAACCGAAACACAGAATACAGCATATGTACATACTGACCCATGCAGAGTCCCTCTGAATGCCAGCAGGCCACAAAACCTCCTATCTTTCTAATCATGGTACCTCAGTTTAACAGGCATAATTTTCTGCTCTGGAGGTTGATGACACAAGCTGGAAGTCTGCACTGGATTGGGGGTAAGACTTATTTGCCACTCACTTGGAAAGTCTGATTTCTGCAGGCAATACAGGAAGCACAGAAAATCTATGAAGACATTTATGATGACTATATGAAAAACCCAGGGGGGAAGGTCAACAGGACTATCTATCACTACCACTTGGCTGTGAGTAGTCCTCCTGAACTTTAATACCTTGCACTGCTACTCTACTGTCACATTACCCTTTAAAATTCCAAATGCCTCCCACTGAGGTATGAAAGAATAGAACTGACTGTTACTTAAAATGGAGCCAGAGGCTCAAAATCCGGTTTCCTGATCGCTCTGTCAGAATTCTGGTTTTCAGATTCCAAGCAATCCCTAACTTTGAAAGTGAAAATGGCCAGGCTTTTAAATTTCAGCTGATGCTTCTTGTCTTTGTTGTGCAGAAGATATGACTATTATGGCCTTTTTGGATATTAAAATCCAAGAATAAATACTCACAAATGCAGAGAGAGGTAGAAAGGTCTGAATCTCTTTGCATTTGTCAGAGAAAAAACTGTGACCCGTGTCCCAGGACCAACAGTGTGGCAGATCCTGTCACTGACTGAACCAAGTAGGTAAAGAACCAAAAGTACATGTGTGACTCAGTTCAGGCCACCCAAAAAGTTAGTGTCTGAATCAGAATTAGAACCTGTGTCTTCCTGAATCCTATTTGTGTCCATCCTGTATCTACACTGCCTCCCACAGAGATCAAGCCCAAGCTTTGTTGCTCCTTACAGCATTCCCACGTTCTTTAGAACAAACATTTCACAACCTCAGACCCTTTTGTCCTTCTCCCATAGCTGTTATTTCTGACCCAAAGAGGAATTCCGAGCATTTTGTGGGAGATAGGCCAACAGGAAAAACAAACCCTCTGAAACACTCTGATTTATTACTGTCTCCAAACCCAGCACTATGTTTTGTCAGAAATAAAGATTCTAGCATTCTCTGTTGTAGCTTTTGTGCGTTGCCCATAATTCTGTATGCGCTGTTTGAACTTCCTGCTTTCTCCCTTTAACAACTCCTGTTTCCTTGTAAGCCAGGGATCTGCTTTTCCAAAATCCACTTGCTTGCTTTGTTATGAGATAGTGTGATAAAAATCCCTTCTGGAAGTTGTTGTTAATACAAATTTGTCTGTTTGCTATGGCTTCAGACAATTGAAACTGATTTTTGAGAATTTTGGCCCACACAATTGGAACTCTACCAGAGGGAGCAGTTAATATAGGGAATAAATTTATAACTTGATCTATATTGTTTCTTTTTTTTTTAGTTATTTATTGTCTCACTTTCAATATGAAAGTAATAACTAATTTCAGTATGAAACAAGTCTATGGTTTCCCCTTCTTCAATTCTTCATCTCTCTGTCTCTCTCATTTAGCTCCAATGCTGTGGTAAAGATAATATGGAACAAATGGGATTACCCTGTCCAGAGAATATCCAGATGCCAAAGGCAAGTGTCCTCTGTTCTGGTTGTTCTAATCACTTTTTCATGTCAATTGTTTAGTAAAATTGGATACATTCTATAAGTAAAAGAAAGAACTTCCTCTTTACCTTGCAAATTCCAGCATGAAATTCCATATGAAATGGAGCAGAGTGGAGGCAGAAATAATTTGGAGGTCATATTGAACATGCCCAACCCTCATTTCTGAAGCCTGCTTGTAGCATCCCATGGTAGCTGAGACAATATTACATCATCTGAAAAGTGGGAAGGAGGTAGCAGAAAAGGAATCCTAAATGAAAAGCCCTGTGAAGGCCGAATTTTGGCAAGTGCCTGCCTTAATCACGCATGGAGACTCCCAACTAGAAACTTTGTTGGTGTTAAGAAGGATACTGTTATTTCTGTCTTTTGTGAATCTGGTTGTGAGTACAACGTCAAGCTGAAGGGCCAAACTGCCTGATTTAGCATGGCCTATCATATAAAGGGTTTTAAATTTCAGGAAAACTGATTGTAAGAAAATAACTTGTATGTGTCAGCCTGTACAAGCAAGAGGTACAGCTGTCTCACGAGAAAAGGGAATATGCTGTGAAAATTGTCCAACAAAACACAAAGCATAGATGCAAGAATTAGGACAGTGACTGCAATATTTTTTCATGTTTATCTGTTGTTTAGTGAGAACAGCTGACAGAATTGGTTGGAGTATATTTTTCTAGGAGTAAAAGCCTTTCAATTTTGTTTTTAATAGAACTGCCTGGTTGAAATCCAGAATGTAATTGATGCTAATCTGCATTTAGTTGGAATTGTTGGAATTGCAATTGCTGGCATCACAGTGAGTAAATCCATGTTCTCACTCTCAAATCTATATTTGAGCCCAGTACCCTGTCCCTTACTCAAAGCTTTGTGGAAGGTGTTTTGCAGCAACTGGTGAGATTCCTCAAAGGTGCAGTTATTCTTACCACTTTCAGTGTGTCCTCTCTCTGGGAATTGCCCATGTCGGCGCAAGCAGACTTGCATGACTTCATTTTACCAGTGCATTTTGTGTCCTCAGAGAAGGTCCAAAGTAATGGTAACCTTATTTTGGTGTAATAATAGGAAAGCAAAGTGCACATGAAGCAAACTGAAAAGCAAAAGGTTGTAGCAGCATTTCATCTATTCCAAAACAACTGCAGACTGATGCTTTAGGCCCTTTGAGGATCCATTCCTTAGATTTCACAAGGAGTAGAGAGTACCTGCCCTTTGCATAGAAATGGCTTTCCATGAATATGCTGGCTGTAGCATTGGTTCAATCTGAAGGATAGTTTATAAACAGATTTTCTACGTCACAGATCCAGCGATCAGTATGTATTTTGTTAAAGGAACGGGATTTAAACTGCATAGTTTTCAGAACAGCATTTCTTTCCTAAACACATAGCACCTAGTTACAGGTAGCCGTTTAATCGGATTGTGTCATCAAAGCATTGATAACTGGCCTTACAGTCCACCTCCTCCCACAAGTGTGGACTGTTGTATCCCCATGGTCTGCTCCTTCCTGACAGAGCTGTGACCAGTAGATGTCACCCTGCTGTAAGGATGTGGCAGGATTGGGCAGTCTGTGTCAGGCACAGGCTTTAACAGAAAGCATTTTCCAGCACACAAGTGCCATGACTTCCTTCAGACTCTGAAACCAGCAGCAGTCAGAAGCAGCATGAGGAGCCAGAATATTATTAAAGAAATACACCTTTAAGCTGCTCTGAAGAGCAGGAGGTTCATGGACCTGGGTGGACACTTAAAAGCATATGAAGGGTTTATGGATGTAATAGAAACCGTGGCATGGGTAAAGGGGATTAAACAATCCTGTGATTTGTATAGAACGTGAAGGTATACTCAAAAATACAGCAAAGCAACATGGGTGGGACAGAGTTCCAATAACCTCATTGCTCAACAAGGATACACTAGAAATAGGAACATCTCTTCTATGGCTTCCCACCTCAGATACAGCACAAGTTATGAAATTCTAACCTCTTTAGCAGCAGAAACATGTCTGTACATTTTTCCATGCTTGTTTCTGACACTTCATGGGGTATGACTGGTCAGCTGTCTCCTTGCTTAGGGAGGTGTGTGGGGAGGGGATGTGAACTCAGTGGTTTAACTGCCTCATAGTACTGCTCATATCCCATTATTAGCAATAAGGCCTGAGGAGATAGCTGCTAACTGCTTTGGAGAATCAACTTGTGGCAAAAAAGAAATTTCTGGAGACTCTGGCATCACCCACTGTTCTCTGTTTTTAACATTCCCTCTAGTTAACTAGCTCCCTAACATGAAGAGAATTTTATATTTAATGTATAGTCTTGGTTTTGAGTAGTAACTGTTAAGAGCTTAGCTTTCTCTGTAAAATCGCAATGCTCAGCACCAGTTCCAGAGACCTGGTTCCTCTGGAATCATTCTCTGCTCTTACTCAAGTGTGTATACAATATTCCATGTAGAAGCATTCTGAAACTCAGAACCTTTTGGTGCAATACCAGGCATAATACCAATAGTCACAGTTACTGATATCAGTGAAATTTATGTTAATATTATTAACGTTTGAGGCTGTTATGCTGGCCTTAACATTTAGAAAAAAGAGCAGTGAAACTAGTGTGAGCAGATAAAATCTTGGCTTTGAGTATCAGTGAAATCTCTTTTATGTTAATTGCCTGATGTCTTGGGGTTTGTAGATGGAAGCAGTCACTTGCTACTCTGCCATAAGAACCTTCAGATTGTTCTGGCATGCAGACTATTTTGTAACTGTTTTGTAAGTGGAACCCTAAATTGCATCCCTTCTCTTCTAGATCTTTGGCATGATATTCAGCATGGTTCTGTGCTGTGCGATCCGTAACACAAGAGATATGATCTAAAACTTTCACTGCACAACTATGTCCCAGGAGTTCCAGACTAAGCTTTACAAGAAGTGCTCTTCTACCCAATTTAATAATTGTAATGCATTTTAATTAGTGTTTTAACATACTGAGAGGAAAATATCCCATTAGGTGAGCAGGTGAATTGTATTAGTTACAGTAAAACCGAAGTGAACAAAAAAGGGTTTTAAAATGTCCTTTTTAATGAAAAGAAGCAAAGGTGCATCTAAGACTAATTTGATTTTTAATGTTTGTATATGTGGAATTAAGAGTTTACACATCTATAGACATTGTGTAAGCACATGCATATCTCTCCTTACACATATATATGCACATGAGCAGGTACCTGTGTATGCAGTACCTTGTTTAGGTAAGTATGTGCAAGTGGAATATGTTGTGTGTACATGTTTGCATGCGTATTATTCCAAAGTCTCACTATGCAAGAGTGTACACACACCCATAGGTATACAGTGCTTGAAACCCTCTCATATTGAGCCCCTTTTGCAAGAATTAGTGGAGGAACAAATGCCATTTTAAAAAGTAAGACCTATGATCCATTTTGTAGCTGTTCTTTCCAAAGCCCAAACAGCATAGAATTAATAAAATTGGACTTTATTAAGAAAAAAAAATAATGCCTAAGGGCCTGCTCCAGCAAACTTTAATTCATGTGAGTAGACCCATTGACTTCACTGTCATGCAGAGACTGGATTTTTTTTTTTAGGACTGGACCCTTCATGCAAATGCAGAAAGCTCTGGGGGAGGAAACATGTCCAAGGAGATCCAGGCTAAAGGAAGAGGGGGAAAGAGGTGGGAAGCTGGCAAGATAATGCAGTCATATGGGAGCGATTGCAGTGCAAAGTGTGCTTAAGCTTCCCAAGCTAGCCTGAGACACACGCACACAATAAATAAATCTATGAGTTAAAGGGGCCACTAAAAATCTTTATTCAGAAGTCCCTTTATCCTGCAAGACTCTATATGATATATATGCTGGTGCAGGAGTGGAGCCTATATCCAGAAAAGCAGCAGCTTTGTCAGATACTCTGTAGAATCTAACTGGCCTGTGGAAGCCAACCGAAGAGTGAAAATGGTCAGGGAAAGACACACAGCACTTTAATATCCTCTGTTTCTGCTTCTGTGACTATCACAGCTTCCATGGGGCTCTTACCTCAACCTCTCACCTTTTCTTGCGGGTGTAAGGCAGGAAAGAAAGATGGGACATTTTTACAGAGCCATAAAGTAAATTTTCTTACTGGCACCTTTAGATTGCATGTCAGGTAGAAAAATTACACTGTGTGCTTGAAATACCTCAGGGCTTGCGTTTACATAGTTTGTTTCTATATTTTTATTTTTCTATTTGTCATATTTATTCATAAGAGAATGTTCCTTTTAAAACAACCTAGAAGGGAGAAAGGTTGTCCCCAGAAGGGGAAAATAAATTACATCAAAGGCTCAGAATCTCTTAATTTTTTGCTTACTCAAGATCATTCACCATTTCAGAGAACAGCTTTTTGCTAACAATATCCACATAGCAGCTCTGTCTCTCTGATGATCACTAGGTTCAGATTTCTGATGCAGTTGTTCCATACATGATGGGGAAAAGTTCAGCTAAACTATGTATCTATCTCATTGAAACGGTCCACGATGTCTAACAGGACTTGGCATTTACAAGTCATGGGGTCTTTATTCCACTGAAACACAAGGGAAAGAAATGGGATTTCAGAAAACGTGTACATTCTAGTGCACATGTTTGTGTGGAATATACATCTCTCGTTATATTTATCTCTCATTTCCCAAACAAACTCAAACTCCCATCACTTTTCTGTTACTTCAGGATTGGAAAGAGTGTTGCTGTTCCATGTAACTGATTTAACTGACACATCTTGCTGTCTTTACAAATTGTTCAACCACAACCTGTGACACTGAGACAACTGTGCACTAAATGCTGGGTATGCAGCAGGCACTGTCAACTGAGCAGTTTCCAGGCCTAGCTTCAGGTACCCAGCTGACAGGGAGACATTATATCCTACACCAAAGAAGAGTTAGGCTTGTATCACTCTGTTCACAACTGATTAGCTATGGATGCCGTGTAAAAGTAAGAATTGGGACCTTATTCTGCAAGCATCAGACCAGGAAATAAGGGCCCAGTCTGCTGTCTGCTCCCAAGGAAGGCTCAACTGGGAGAATGACACTAGCAGCAAATCCACGGGGGTCTCAAGCTGAAACTAAGAAAGTAAGTTTCTCACAGCAGACAACTGACATAGCCAAAGCAATTTCCTGGATCCCAGATATACTTGAGACTGTCTCTACAACTGGTTCTGCTCTAAATAGATAATGGGATAGTATATGACTGGGATGTTTTCTCCCAAGGTAATACTGACAGCAAGAAGAAACCTGTGTATAGTGTCATTTTTGCCATTCAGAGCGAGACAGCTTTCCAGGAAAACCAGTAAAAATAGCACAGTAGGGAAGCCAGTAGTTCAGGTTCCAAGATTATTGCCCTAGAGGGATAGAGATTTATTGCAAATAAAGCCACTTCCTTCTGTTACACTCCCCCTTGTAATGACAGTATTTTATTTATTTTAAACACATCTTCATACAATTGGTTTTAATTCCTCAAATCTGTAGCACTGGAATGTAATGATAGGACCAGAGTTTACTTCTTTATTTGTTTACTGTTTCCTGAATAAGTTGGAAGATGCCCACTCCTGCTTTTGAGATGCACTGAATAAAAAGGCAGCTTGCAGAAACTTCTGTTGCTTCCCCAGCTCCCCACTCCCCCAGAAGTACAAAAACATCTAAGTGCCTTATGAAAACAGGGAAGAATGGCACAAAGAAACCTCCCATAAATTCAGACTTGAACAACCTAACTTTCTGCTGAAGTGTTTTGGATTTGTGTTTGGTTTTTTTGTTTTTTTTTTCTTCTTCTGAACAGTGCATTTTTTTTTTCTGAGCATAATTACTGCTTATACTCTACGGTTTACTGCTATTTAAGTTTACGGGATACTTGCACTGCATATCAGGAACAGAATAATACCCAAGTTATTGGTATAATTTAAGCTGGAAATCAATGTTATGCATCTACTAGTGCCTTTAACAGAATCCAGAGATACAGCCTCTTTTGTTGTTTCCTGCTGTTGTCTGCTGTTGTGAGATGCATAATATATTTGCAGTTTTCTCTGCATCTTAGTGACTGAAAGTATTTTTTAACTCATTAAGGTACAGAAAATACACCTGTTCTTTCCCTGTCAAAGCTGTAAGAATTCTTTCCTGTTGCTTTTAGATCATAGCTAGTTAACAACTCCAATTTTCATTTACTAGCTTGAGCAGCCCTTTTTAAATGCTTAGATGTCACAGGCGGGGTTATGGCTATCCAAACTAGGTATATAGTGCCCACAGTTTATTGTGCTGCTGCTCTATCATTTCAGCTCTTGAAAGCACAAAATCTTTGATCTTTGTCGGCAGTACAAAATCATTTCCAAGCAGCTACACCATATGTCTTCAATAAGAAAGCTTTTCAAAGGTAACTAAATCCAAACCAGTATCTAAACTTCCTCAAATACAGTTCATGCTCCAAAGTTGCATGCCAGGAGTTAATTAACAAACTCTGATGCTTGTGTGCACCAGATACATAGTAACTGCCCTATAAGTTAGCAGAAGTACCCATTTAGTCCTGTCCCTTGTATGTGTTTCAGAGGAAAGTGACAAAAGATCAAATCCCTCCAGGTGATAATTCTGAAAGCACATCACACACGTGTTCTTATTCTCCTGTCAAACAGTTTGTTCTAAAGCATGAAAGGTGTAAATTGTTGATGCCCTTATTATAACTCTAAACATCATTATTCACATTTGCCTTGTCTAATTTTTCTAAGTAACTGACTTCAGTGGGAGCTTCATTTGTTACAGAAAAACCTCAGCCAGTTTTGATCTCTCGCAGAGATTGCACAGGAGCTGATGAAGCACAGCCCTGTAATATCCCTACAATGAAGATTTGTATTTCACTTTTCTTCATCATACTGAAAGTGATATTTTTTTTAGCAAAATATATTTCATATGTATTGAAGAAGAAATTGAGTTATCTTAAGCCTTCAGATGCTATATTTTACAGCCCTTGGAGGCTACTGATGAACAGCATCAGATACTGTTCATAGAAAATGTACATATATAAAGCTTTTCAATCTTACTTCTTCCTCTCTATTGGTGCTCCAGCCACTAGGTTCTCCAAAATACAAACCACTTCCAATACAATGTATTTGCTTCTATAGCACAAATTCTGATTTTGGACAGAACTGACGTATCGGTTTATGCTGCAGAGACTGTAGCAGAATTACCTCTATGGCAGCTGTCTTTGAGAGAAAAAAACCACCGTATTCTGTTGCTGAAATCAGCTTTCACTTCCCTTTAGTCTAATGTGTTCTGAAGTGGCGTTTTATCACCTTTTCTGTCTCGAATTTGAAACAACTTTCTAATAAAAATAACCTGAAATAAACGACTACCGGAGAGAGCTTGTCTCCGTGCGCTCCAGCGTGCGCTGTCAGAACCAGCCCCCCACAAACTCTCGGATTTCACGCTGGGGACCTTCCGCGACGACCCGACCCGACGCCCCCCCGCCACCGCGAGCGCGGCACGCCGGGCGGCCGGCCGGGCGCTGAGCTCTAACCGCGGCGTCCAGCAGAGACCCTCCCACCGCGGCAGGGCTGCCTTCGCCTCACCTTCGGCATCCTGGCGCTCGGGACACCCGGTGCGCCGCGGCAGGCGGTCACTCGGTGGCGGCGGCGCCCAAGGCCCGCGGGGCGGCCCCCCGCCCGGCGAGGGGCTCCTAAGGCAGGGGCGCGAGCCCAGGCTGCGGGGCGGGTCTGGCCGAAGCTCCCCCGTCACCCTCGGCTGTGTGATCGCCACGGCGCGGGGCCGCGGGCGGGCGGGCTCCAGTAAAGGAGCAGGCCTCCGCCGCCGAGGCCCCGCGCCGGCAACCGGGACAGGACTCGAGCCGGCGGCCGCCGCCGCACCGCCACGGCTCACCTCAGGCACCCGCGCGGCGGAGCGGGCCCGCCCACCGGGGAGGGACGGCGGGCAGTACGCGCTCCGCATTGGCTACTGGCGCTGCGGCCCGTGTGCGCGAGCGCGCGGGCGGTGCCTCGTCCTGGCGGCGGGTGGGGAAAGGCGGGGGAGGGGCGAGGGAGGCGGGGGGGCCGGCGGGCCTCTGCCCCCGCCGCTCGGGGCGCCCAGGCAGCCGGCGGGCCCTAAGACGTAGCGGGTGCCGGGTAGGAGGCGGCTGCGTGCGCGGGGTGAGCCCGGGTTCCGCCCCGCCCCGCCTGCGCCCCCTCAGGCCGCTCCTCCTGAGCGCTCGCGGGCCCGCCCTGCCGGTCGCACCACACCGCAGGGGGCGGGGCAGTCAGGCGGGGCC